AGGGGCCACGCCGTATCCGTACAATTTCTTGATAAGTGTGCTCGCGGCCGTCTCGTAGTCTCCGTTGACCGCGTGGATAGCGGAGATTCTGACAATCCCGTCACCCCACGCCTTCTGGGCTGCGAGGACCTGCTCCCTGGTAATGGTCCTGCTGGCCACAAACGGTACCGACGAGTGGTGCAGGTTGATCCGGACAGCACCCGATGAGTCGATGAAATATCCAAACGTGTACTCGACCTTTACCTCCTCCCCCTCGGGATTGGTAAAGAAATAATTACCCATCGCCAAGGCCGTGTTACCGAACAAATTGACTCCCTTGTTATCCCACCGCACGGCCTTCCAGCCTTTGATGGCGAAGCCCGTGTCCTCCTCGTGCAAGCCGTTTGTCGCCACGAAGTAGGACACAGCGTCTTCGAAGGTCGATCGGAACTGGGAGTCGCGCGCCAAAGTGGGCTTGAACAGCACAGGGGACACACCGTACCCATACAGCTTGCTGATGAGATCTTTCGCGGCTGCCTCGTAGTCCCCGCCTCTCTCGTGAATAGCGGAAATGTTTACGATCCCGTCACCCCACTCTTTCTGAGCAGCGAGGACCTGCTCCTCAGAGATGTCAGTGCCATCTTCGTTCTCGGGGTTTTCCTGGAAGTAGTCCATCGCGTCCTGGAACGAGCTGAACTGGGCAACGGGCTTGGTCGCCATCTGACGCCGCAGGGGGGCTGAACCCATCCTGCAGAAGTGCGGCGTGTTGACGTGGAAGCTCGTCCTGCAGGGCGTGCTCACGCGGCCGCCCGCTACCCTCTTCAGGCATGCTGCCACAGCGGTGCGCGCCCGGAGCATGGTGCTCGCGCACCCCCCTGCGGCTGCTGTCGGCCACAAGCGGTTCAACGATGCAAAAATGCTGTTCTCCACCTGAAACGGCCTTGTGCCGGAAAATCTTGAGCCCAAACGGCTACGGAATGAGATGAGGAGGAGAAGGCAAGTGAGGAGGGCTGGGGTAGAGAAGGGACGACGGAGGAGGGAGGAGGAGGAGCAAGCGGAGGAGGTGAGAGATGAGGAGGGGGAGCGGCACGAGAGAAAATACTAGAAGAAAGAGTCTGAGAAGGGGATGGAGGGGGAGCTGGCTTGGGAGGGAGGGGGTCGAGGAGGAGAAGTCTGTCAACGGTGAAAGTTCATGGTAACATCTCCTCCTGAGCCCCGCCCCCTCCTCCTCATCAGACCATGGAAAGGATCCCCGAAAAAAACAGGGAGTCCCAGGGTGCTTTCTTGGTAGGTGTGGGGCTGACGAGGTAACTTTGACGAGGAGGACGATGCGTAGCTGCTGACCTGGTCACTGGATGGGCTTCCCCCCCAGGCTGCACCATAGGCCATCACGCCGTTGGTGTCATGGGTGTTCGGCCAATATACTAATGTTGATTGCCTCTACTGCTTTCTGGCAAGGTGGATAACAAGAAGGGCGACCTGTATAATGAGCAGGGAGGACTAGGAGGTCTTCGCCCGAGCCCCGAATTCTTCTACAATGTTTCTACATGATGTTTCTTATTGCCCCCCAACACCGTAACGTCTGCACACAACATGGTCTCCGCATTTTCCTTCTGCCTGCTTATGCCTTCGACCGCGAAGGGCAGGAACACGAATCGACGAAGACAGCGTGGGGCAAGGTGAATAAGGGCGAAGCGGGGGCGAGGGCGAGCCGGTGTAGCACCGTTGGGGAAACAACGTTGCAACAAACGTTTAGAAACTACTTCGCATGACCCCCCAGGACGCAATACGCATTTGCCAATGTTAATGCCGGGTGGGGGAGGGGGACTTTGGTTCTTTCTGGTTCGGGTGCTGTTGATGCACAGATTTCCTTCAACCGTATTACCGCCAAATGTAGTCAACAAGCTGGCAAGGTGCCCGATGGCTGTCAGAAACACTTTTAAGCCATGATGTCGTGAGAACGGCCTTGAGAACACATCCAGAACGTGCCAAGCCGACTATATATCTTTCTAGACTCTCCCCGTTCCCGAACGTTTGCTGCCATTGCTCCAGCTGTTCCTCAAGCCGCATCGACGTGGCGCCTGTCTCCTGAAGGTTTCCCGCAGCGCGGTCGCATTCACGTGCGCGACAATTAACACCTCGCCAGCTCACTGTTTTACTAGCTTCGTGCCAAATTATCAAACACTGAAAGCCATGATGGTGCCGTTCTGAGAGGTAACGAGCACAGCACAGTAGTCATGTGAACAATACCACGTAACCATTGCGGCGGAGGTGAAACATATCATCAGCAACCTCACGAAAGAGACAACACACATTCGCTCAACAATGGCATTCTCTTCGCCTCCCTCGTCCCTGCAATCTTTGTGCTACTGGCGACGCGACTCAATGCAAAACTTGGGCGCCACACTGCGCACTCGGGCACTTGATGAAACATCCACGTATTCCTGGAACCACAAATATCGAACACGCATGACATGGGGTGTAAATCATATCCGCACTGCTCATCGCTGTCTCGCACGCAGAACTAAACGCTTACGAACTTCGAACCGTTGGTTTATTTTCTAAGCCCTAAAAAACCTGTCTGTGAACGTTCGAGCCGTGGCTCGGAAAGAAGGCCGGGGTGGCCGTTGCCAGCTCCGGAGTCGGTGACTCGATGGTCTCCCGTGTGGTCTCCACTGTGGTCTCCCGTATGATCTCCCGTATGGTCTGCCGCTGTCTTCCGTATGGGTGTACAGAGCTTGCCTGTGTAGGGGTCCTAGCGGATTCATTCCCCAATCAGAGCTTGCCTCTGTAGGGGTCCTAGCGGGTTCATACGGTTAGGTGAGGTGTGGCGCCGATTTCGGCGGCACGCCCGGGTGCCCCGGTGCCTGATAGCCCTATATTCCTATCTCCGGTGCCATGTCTTCTGTACGGCCTCCACTATGTACAGTCAGACAGTCAAGTAAAATACTCTCTTTATCGCCGCCGGGGTAAGCTGCTTAGGCACTTCTGCCGCCAGGATGTAACGCTCTCTGGTCAGATCAGCTGGTCTACGCAATATAACTTCGAATGAGACGGTTTTATTTGTGTATATAGCACATAAAGACTGGTCAGCAAGAACCAGACCTCAATGAGACCTCGCCGTCCTTTGAGATAGGAACTGCGGAACTGTGACCACTTTCGTGGGCCCCTGGGGGGCTCAGCGGAGTAGTGTCTTACGTGGATTCGAATTCGATCTCGCCGTCACCGGGGGCTGCGAACTGCGAAACTATCGTCGCTTTCCATGCTGTATGTCTTCCCTTCGCTCTCATTCAGGCTTCCGCCTCTCTTCTCTCGACTTCTACCTATCTTCTTCAGTGCATTCAGTTTTCTCTACCCCATTGCCGCTCGCGGTCATCGTTGTCTTTACGTCCTCCCCTTATCATGCCACATCTCTTGCCCTGTGAGTCGTGCAACGCGCAACCGCTCATTTAACTCGCGCAACATATCGCGTTCCTTGCCGTGCCATCTTCCGTAACACTTTGGCCCGTTGTTCTGGCCACTTATTGCAGATGGGTTGGGTACATCGCCAGGGTAATATTCTATAGGAACCTCTCTTGCCACGCAGAGCTGCATGCACCGCCTCTCTCTCTCGAAGCTCCTGGACAGCCCGACGCCTCCTCGTGGCTCCCCTAGGCGCTCGAAGGCTTCCAATACGGCCAAGGAAGATTATTAAGGCTGCCAGGGTGGCCAAACATTGCTTCAGTACACAACCAACCACTCCTAAGAAGCGCCCAATAAGTTCGAAGAGGCCTCCAAGAGGCCCCAACGCAACCGCAAGGCGCTCTCCAGGAGGTCCCCCACTATCCGCAAACATTACTTTCATTTGTTATTCAACATGTTTCGCTTTTCACTTGCGGTCTTCAGGCTCCCCAAACGGCCTACTAAAAGCCCCAAATGAACCCTGGACAGCCCAAGACGTCCCAAAGAGGGTCTCAACTTTGCCCGGAAAGCATCTGAAGGGCTCCAAGACGGCCCCAAGATACCCTCCAGCCTCTAGACGGCTAAGACGGACGTAAGACGGCCCAAGAGGGCCACAAGACGGCCTTAAGCCGACCGAAGGGGCCCCAGGGGACCCCCAAGACTGCCCCACAGGAGCCCACGACTGCCTCAACACGGCCCAAATAAGCTCTATGAGAGCTATCCCCAGACGGCCCAAAGAAGCCTGCGACAGGCCCAAGTCTGCCCTACAGGAGCCCCCAAAGCCCCAATGAGTGGAGACAAGAGGTGCCACATGTGGCAGCCTTCCAGGCCGTGCTCGAAGGGTCGCCACCCAAGGTGCTTTGCTGGCGCTATGGCGGATTATCCGCAGGCAGCTGGCACTGTGAACGAAACAGCTTGGCTGGGGGGAAAAGCTAGAGTAGTTCTTGTTCAGTGCAACCTTCCATGCTGCAGGGTCGGTGGCTGTCAGCCGCAACTGCATTGGAATTCAGCTGTTTTTGTTTTACGAAACCTCCTGCGTTGGGTTTTCGTTTTGGATAAAGCTCAGTGGTTTCCGTCCCTCCTTCCTTCCTCCTACCTTAACCTCCTTCCTCCTGCGTCCTACCCTGCCTCTTACCTCGCCTCCCTGGGTGACTGCGAAATGCGTCTAGACCTCGCCCTTCATGAGGGCTGTGAACTGCGAAGCTGTCGCCACTTTCGTAGGCTCCAGGGGGGTCCAGCTGAGTGGTTTCTTTCGCTGGCCCAGATGCGGTCTTTCCTTCCGAGGCTTCCGCCACTTCCGTGAGCTCCTCGAGGTCCAGCGGAGTGGTGCCTTACGCGGGCCCAAATTAAACCTCGCCGTCAATTGGGGACTGCGAGCTGCGAATCTGCCGCCACTTTCGTGAGCCGTTTGGAGGTCCAGCGGAGTGATGCCTTACGCAAGTCCGTATTTGACCTCGCCGTCTCCCATGGGCTGTAAGCTGAGAGCTTGCCTCTACTTTCGTGGGCTCCTCCAAAGTCTAGCGGAGTGCGAACCCTACCAGATTTGGATCAACAAGTGCCGTGGAGGAGCAGGGATGCTGCTGCTGATGATGCTGCTGCTGATGCTGCTGCTGATGACGATGATGATGCTGCTGATGCTGATGATGAGGAGGATAATGATGATGATGGGGAGAATGAGGAGGAGGAGAAGCGAGGATAAGCGAGGTGGATGAGGATGAGGAGAACGAGGAGGAGAAGGAAGAAGACGATGGGGCGGACGACGACGAGGAGCGACGAGGAGGACGAGGACGAGGAGAAGGAGGAGAAGGGCGATGAGGAGGATGAGAAGAGGAGCATGAGGAGGAGGCCCCACTGGCCGACTAATCCGCAGGGGCGTGGAGTGGCGGAGGAGGCGGAGGAGGAGAAGGAGGATAATGTCCCTGTTTTCTCCCCACCTCCACTCCAAGCTCCAGCCTGCCCCCTCTCGAGTCCTACTCCCAAAGCTTTGCCTCTCCTGTCCAAAACTATCGTCGTTCTCTACCTTCACTATTTCCCTCCCCTGCTTACTTCTCAACTCCTGGTCTCCTCCTACGTTCTTCCACGCTCCTGTCCCACTTCTTCCGTGTCCCCCTTTGTTCCTAAATCCTTCCGCCTAATCCCATCTCTTGGTCATCGCTGTCTTTCCGTGATATCCTTCCATGCCATCTCCGAACGTACTGCCGCACCCAAGTTTCGCCCATGAGTCGTGCCACGCGCGAGCCTCCTATTTAGGTGTCACAGCGAATCGCGTTCCTGGTGTTGCCAACATGCATGACAGTTTAGTCCATTGTTCTGGGCACTTATCGTACATCGATTTGGGTACGCCGCCAGAGGAATTTCGAAAGGTCGGTGATGTTTTGAGAGCCTCTTGGCAGGCTTCTCAGTCACGTCCGATTGCTGAGCGCTATTTGCTGTGGATCCAGCTCTTTTTACCTGGCACGCAGCCTAGCGATCAGGTTCACTTCCAGCACTCTACTGCCCTCCGGATCATGCAGGACAGGCCCGATCATCCCCTTCCTCCTCCGCCTCCTCTATACCATCCTCCTCCTCCTCCTCCTCCTCCTCCTCCTCCTCCTCCTCTTTTACTCCCGCCTCCTCCGCCTCCTCTCTCCTCCCTCCTCCGTGCCCCTGCGCCTCCCCCTCCTCCTCCTCCTCCTCTTCCTGTTCCTCCTCCTCCTCCTCCTGCTCCTCCTCCTCCTCCTCCTCCTCCTCCTCCTCCTCTCCTCCTCCTTCTTCTTCTTGCAGGCACCGCGGCGAATCTATCGCAAACGCACGCCCGACGCGCAACCTGTACTCGTTTCCTACGGGCAGGAACCAGTAGGGCAATGCGATGACCCTGTAAAGCAACACGGCGTGCTGGCTACGCCGCCGCGGCGGCCCGCTGTTCTGCCTGGTCGACGCCGCCTGCCCCCAGGGCGGGGCGCAGTTGCCGGGCCGTGGCCTGGTGGAGAGCTTCGCAGAGCTCTCGAGCTCACTGGGCCGCCAGCTGCCCAGGGAGGGCCTCGGCCGCGCCTTCGTCGTCCGCCTCGAACAGTGCGACCTGCTCCTGGGCCAGGCTGCGCAGGTGGCGCAAGGCAGCCTGCCCATGTCGGCTGGTGGTCTCCAGAACCAGCGGGACCATGCGCCGGGGCGTCTGGCCGGCTGGGTAGCACTGGTGCTTGTCCGCTTCCGCGGAGGCGTTGGCTGTCCCGTCGCGGCCGGCAGGGGCCTGCATTGCATCGACGTCGCGGTGTACGCTGTACTGGACGGCAAAATCGAAAAACGCACGCGGGTGGCCTGGACGCTGCACCTCGAGGTCGAGGATAGCCTCCTCGCGCTCGGCGGCCAGGGCGCGGCCGCAGGCGGCGCAGGCGGCGACCAGCCGCGCCGCCGCGGTCCCGCGGGCGCTGCACCGTGCGCAGCGCCAGGCCCGACGGTCCGGCTGGGACGTGACCTGGCGGGCGGCGAAGTGGCCGCAATCGTGTGGATGCGCTGCCAGGCCCCCTCCAGGTCGCCGCGGGCTTTGCTGCAGAGTGCCTCGACGAAGTGCTGGCCAGCCCTCTCGCCTGTCTGGGCGCGGTCGCAGCAGGTGGCCCCAGGCGGTGCCGCGTCCTGCCCGAGGAGCGCGCGGGGCGGTGGCCTTGTCCGCGTCGTCCAGGCGCGCGCGAGGCTGCCCGGGTTAGGCCGTCTGCCACCCGGCAGCGTGCGACCCGTCGCAGGAGCGAAGGAACGCCCTCCTGTGGTTCGAGGGGTCTCAGCAAAGACTCGCAGTTTTTGTAATCGATCTTTGCAGTGCGAGTTTTCTGAAGCTTGCAACGGGGCGTTTCTGCCAGCTCGCGCCAGGAGGACAGCTCGGCCAGCTCTGCGCTGGGGCGCGGCGGCGGCGGCGGCTGCGCGAGCCAGGCCAGCGCGCTGCGGCAGGCGGCCGCGAAGGGGAGACCGCATTTCTCGAAGTCGTCGAGGCAGGCGAGCCTGGCGCGCTCGCGCACGAGGCTCTGGCTCTGCGGCCAAGAGAGAGAGAGCCCAGGCTGCCTGCGCCAGTTGCTGCTGGCTGCTGACTGCGCCGGCCGCGCCCGCCAGTGCCCAGGGGCAGCTGCCACTGTGCTGGCTGGGCCTCCGTCTGCGGATCCAGGTCCGCGTGCTGCTCGTAGGCGGCCAGCAGGGCGTTGTCGTAAGCCGCAGCAGCCGCCTCCGAGGTTTCTGGCGGGTTCGGCCGGAGGAGGTGCGAGAGCTTGCTGGCGCCGCATAGGCGCAGCAAGAGACCGGCGGTCTGCGCCGCCGGCAACTGTGGCGAGGCCGCAGTCGGGAGAGCCGCGAGCTTGGCGAGGAACTCCGCCGCCCGCCCCGCCGCCTCCTCGCAAAGCGCGTTCGCAAAGCCCGCCGCGCTGAGGTCGACGCGGCGTTCGTCGCCCTCGTCTGGAAGCCCTCCCGCGGGCAAAAGGCCCCCGAGCGGCACGCCCACCAAGGTCAGGCCGCGCCCGCCGAACAAGCTTACGCTTTCCGCGGCTCCAGTTCTAAGCCGAAGTCAGCGAGGGCCGCCTGCGCCGCCGCCTGAGCTTCGCCCGCGAAAACCGCCGGCACCAGCACGACGACGTCGCCCAGATAGGCGAGGACGCGTACGTCGCCAGGCTTCAGCCCCCGTCGTTCTGCCGACGCCCGCGAAGCTTCCTCCAGGGCGCGCAGGCGGGGCCGGATCCCGCAGGCAAAGAGCAGCGGCGCCAGCGGATCCCCCAGGTCCACTCCGCCAATGGTGCGCAAACGGTGGCAGACGCCCGCCGCGCCCCAGGAGTAATACTGGGGCGGTTGAAACATTTGCGAAGGGCAGCAGCGCTGGCGCCGCCATCTCCAGCTCCCGCAGGCAGGCCGCCTAGTTGGCGGAACAGTAAGATTACTTCGAGTCCAGCACGACCACCACCAAGCCCGGGTCCGCCACCGCTCCTGCTCCTCCTCCTCCTCCTCCTCCGCCTTCTCCTCCCCTCCTCCTCCTCCTCCTCCTCCTCCTCCTCCTCCTCCCTTTCCTCCTCCTCCTCCTCCTCCTCCTCCTCCTCCTCCTCCTCCTCCGCCCCCTCCTCCTCCTCCTCCTCGTTCCCCTCCTCACGACGCCGGCTGGCATAGGGCCGCTGGCCCCCCACCGCTCCCGCGGGTCCGCCGAAGCCTCGCCGCAACGGGCCACCTTCTTCCACCTGCCCCGGCCGAAGTGCGGCGAGCGGGCCCCTCCTGGCCGGAGGCGGCCCGTGGCCGCGGGGTGAGAGCCGGCCGCGCCACAAGAGGAGGGACTAGGAGGAGAGGGGGAGGAGAGGGGAGGAGGAGGCTGAGCGAGAACGAAGAAGATGACGACGACGGTGACGGTGACGGTGTCGATGGCGATGACGATGACGCTGCTGCTGCTGCTGCTGCTGCTGCTGCTGGAGGAGACGAGAAGGAGAATGAGGAGGAAGAGGAGGAGGAGGAGGAGAAGGAGGAGGAGGAGGAGGAGGAGGAGGAGGAGGGGGAGGAGGAGGAGGAGGAGGAGGAGGAGGAGGACGAGGTGGACGTTGGAGCGTATCTACTGCCGCCGGAGCCGCCTGCGGCCGATTTTGCCAAGGGGCAGCTGAACAGCTTGCAGGGCGGACCGCGCTAAGCTTTGCGCGGCCTCCAGAGAGAAAGGGGTCGGGCGGGCCTTGCTGTCCTGGTGGGCCAACCTATACACATGAAAGTACATTGCAGTTTACTTGAAAGCCTCAGGAGGAGGAGGAGGAGAAGGAGGAGGAGGAGGAGGAGGAGGAGGAGGAGGAGGAGGAGGAGGAGGAGGAGGAGGAGGAGGATGCGGAGGATGGAGGAGGAGGAGGAGGAAGGAGGAGGAGGAGGAGGAGAGGGGAGGAGGAGGGAGGAGGAGGAGGAGGAGGAGGAGGAGGAGGAGGAGGCGGAGGAGCATCCATTTTTTCTTGGCCGTCAGTGTAGTTCTTCCCAGCGTAGGGAACCGATGGGGAGGGACCACTCACTTGATCTGAGACTCGACCCATGCGAAGAACTCCAAGTCCTCCTGCCACTGCTCGCGCGTCAGCAGCGAAGGCTCTGCCCGGCGTTCCTCATCCATCACGCCCGCGGGGTGCGCAGCGGGCCCTGGCCTCCCCGAGGAAGACGCCGACGCGGGGTCGCCGGAGTCAAGCACGGCGGTGGCTGCACCCGTCACGCCCTGTGGCGCCGCAGGCTGCGTCACCGCTCCTCCTGGCGGGGCTGGCGACGCCTGTCCTGGCGTCGGCCCCTCCGTCGCCGCCTCGCGCGCCAGGCCCGCGGCACCCTGGCCCAGCTCCGCCACCAGCTCGTCCGACAGCACGTTGTCCGCCAGCGCCAGGCCTCCATCGAGGCCTGCCCTGCCGCGCCTGCTGCGGCCGCCGCCGGCCCATGCGCGCAGCAGCCGTCGTGCCTCCGTGTCCGTGAGCAGATTCTCGCGCAGGTCGAGCTCCTGGAGCGCACTGGAGGCCGAGGCTACAGCTGCCGCGATGCCCGACGCCTCGGCGATGGAGTTCGCCCTCAGCGACAGCCTCTCCAGCAGCTCGAGGCACCCACCAAGGCGCATAGCGGCGGCGACGTGCGCGCACCCCTCGTTGCCAATGTCCGCCGCCGTGCCGCGAGGCACGGCAAGTGGAGTGTGCCGGGGTCCCTTGGAGTTCGGAGTCCAAATTTCCAACGTGCCCTGAGATGGCCCCATTGGGCCGTCCTGGGGCTCTAGTTGGACCGTCATGGGGACCTTGGGCCCACGACGCTCAGATCATGGACCAACGTTTCATTTTGTGCGTTTGTGTGTGTATGTATGCATGTATATACGCATGTCTGCATGGATGTTTTTAAGTATGTATATATGTACGTACTTGTGTAGGCACGCATGTGTGTGCATGCATGTACGTCTGCATAAAAAGATGCATGTATAGTAGAGCGAGTTTCACGGGCGCTTGCCTTGGGAACATTCGGCGGCGCGTTTCGAACCGGCGGGTGGGCCTCCCCACAAACACTCGGCGTCGTCGATCAGAACCAGGGGGACTCCCCTCCCCCCCAAACCCTCCCCCTCTCCACCCCCCCCTCCCCCCTCCTTCCAAGGGTGGGAGGGTTTCAACCCCCCACCTCCCCCCCCCCCCTGGCGCCGCCTGCGCCGGCGCTGGCGGCGGCCAGCAGCGCCGACGGCAGACGCAGCGACGATAACCAGAGAGGGCCCAGGGGGAGGGGGGGGTTCCAACCCCCCCCCTCTCGGCGCCGGCGCCGGCACCGGCGCTGGCGGCGGCCGTCAGCGCAGCGACGATGACCAGAGAGGGCCCAGAGGCCGTAGGGGGGCAACACAAATCGCCACCACCACCAACCACCACACCACTACCACCACCACCACCACCACCACCACCACCACCACCACCACCACCACCACCACCACCACCGCCATAACCACCACCACGACCACCACCACAGCACACCACTACCACCACCTGACCCAAAACCAAAACACGGTGGCGGGAAGACCCGAAGGCCACATCACCACCACCACAAACCAGCACACCCCCACCACCACCGCCACCACCACCACCACCACAACCAGCACAACCCACCACCACCACAACCACCACTATCACCACAAACCACTACTACACCACCACCACCACCTCCACCACCACCACCACCACCACCAAAAACGCCACCACCACCACAACCCACCACAACCCACCACAACCACCACGACCACCACCACCACCACCACAAACCACTACACCACTACCACCGCCATCACCACCACCACCGCCACCACCGCCACCACCACCACCACAATCCACCACCACCACCACAAATCACAAAAATACCACCACCACCACCACAACCACCATCACCTATCACACTATCACCACACCACCACCACACCACCACTACCACCACCACCACCACAACTCACCACCACCACCACAAACCACCACGCAACCACCACAACAGCCACCACCACCACCACAACAACCCACGACCACCACATCCACAACAACCCACCACCATTACCACCACCACCAACACAATCTACCACACCAGTACCACCACCGCCACCACCACCACCAGACCAACTTACCACAACTATAAACACCACAAACCACCACACCACCACCACCATCGCCACCACCACCAACACCAGCACCACCGCCACAACCCACCATTACCACCACCGCCACCACCACCACCACCACCACCACCACAAACCACCACACCACAACCACCACCACCACAACCACCACCACAAACCACACCACCAACACCACCACCTACACACCACCACCAGCACCACCACCACAAACCACCACACCACCACCACCACCACCGCCACAACCACCACAACCAGCACAACCCACAACCACCACAACCACCCCCATCACCACAAATCAGTACACCACCACCACCGCTTCCACCACGACCACCATAAACGCCTCCACCACCACCACCACCACAACCCACCTCAACCCACCACAACCACCAAGACCACCATCACCACCACAAACCCTCACACCACTACCACCACCATCACCACCACCACCGCCACCACCACCACCACTACAATCTACCACCACCACCACAAACCACACCACCACCACCACCACCACCACCACCAACAACAACAACAACGACAACACCAACACCAACACCAACACCAACACCAACACCAACACCACCCCCACCACCACCACCACCACCACAAACACCACACCACCACAACACCACCACCCCAACCACCACCACACCACCACCACCCCCGCCCACCACCCCCCGCCCACCACACCACCCACCACCCACCCACCACACCCACCCCCACACCACCACCCCACCACCCACCACCACCACCCACCACCCACCACCACCACCCACCACCCACCACCCACCACCCACACCCACCCACCACCACCCACCACCCACCACCCACCACCACACCACACACACCACACATCACCACAGCACCACATCACCACAGCACCACAGCACCACAGCACTTCAGCCCACCACCACCACAACCCACCACAACCTCAGAAAGGCCCCGAGAGACGCCCAAGAGGCGCCCAGGAGGCTTCACAAATGCCCTTCAGAGGCCCCCGAGAACCCTCCGACGATATCCCAAGAGGCATCCAGTAGGACTCTGACCCAAAACCAAGGCACGGTGGCGGAGCGTGTTCGTCGTCGTCGTCGTCGTCATCGTCGTCGCCGTCGTCCGCCGCCGCCAGCCGCCGCAACCGCGGGCGCCGGCCCAGAAGAGGAAGTCATCGTCTTCATCGACGCTCCCCGCCGCCGCCGCCGCCAGCCGTCGCCGACGCCAGCGCCGGCACGAGGAGAGGGAGAGAGGAAAAATAGGGGAGGAGGGGGGGGGTTCGAACTCCCCCACCCTTCTCCGTCACGGGAGAGGGTGGAGGGGGAGGGGGGGGGTTCGAACCCCCCCCTTCAATCCAGGGGACCAGGGGGGGTGGTCCGGGTCCAAACACCCCCCCTTCCAAGCGGCCGCAGAACGCGCTCTTTCGCATGTATGTATGCATGTATTTATGTGTGCATGTAAATATATGTGAGAGAGCGTGATCCACCGCCGCTTTACTGTGGAAAATTGCCGCCCTTTTCTTCCGGAACCCGGTTCCCCCCCTCCGAAAATCCCCCCCCCCCCCCCCCCCCATGCTGGACCCCCCCCCTCCCTTCTCCCGGCGGCCTCCCCACCCCTCCCCGAATCCCTCCCCCCCCGTCCCTCTCCCCCTCGAAAACCGGGGGGGGCCACTACCGGTTCGAACCCCCCCACCCCCCCTTCTCCCCCTCGAAAACCGGAGGGGGGACACTACCGGTTCGAACCCCTCCCCAACCCCCCCCACTCACCGCCAGCAAACGACTCCCGGTCCCTGCCACCGTCCGCATCACATCCCCCACTGTTGTTCCCAGCGCCACTGTCCTCACCACCATTGTCCCCACTGGTTCCACCACCGTCTCTACTGTCCCCACCAGTGCCCCCACCACTGTCGCACTGTCTCCACTGTCCCCGCCACTGTTCCCACCACGATTCCACTCTCCCCACTTTCTCCACGGCCCCAACCACTGCCCGACTATCCCCACTGTCCCCACTGTCCCACTGACTCCTCCGCTGTCCCACTGAACTGCCCCACTGTTCCCACCGCTGTCCCCACTGTCCCCGCCACTGTCCCCACTGTACCTCTGTCCCATTGTCCCACCGCCGTCCTCGCCACCGCCTTCACCACTGTCCCCACCACCACTGTACCCTCCACTGTCCCAGTGTTTCCATCTCATTCCCACTGTCCCCACACCACTGTCCCCACCACCACCGTCCCCACCACTGTCCACTGTCCCCACTGTTCCCACCATTGTCCTCACCACTGTCCCAACCACCACCGTCCCCACCACTGTCCCACTGTCCCCACCACTGTCCCGCTGTCCCCTCACCACTGTCCCCACCGTCACCGTCCCCACCACTGTCCGCACCCCCACTCGGTTTAGTGACCCCCTAAGGCGGTTTCGGGCCGATGGCGGGGGGGGGGTTCGAACCGGTAGTGACCCCCAGAGGTAACCCCCCCCGGTCATTCACTCCACGCCTTTTCACAGAGTCACCGCGCCCGCGCGGGGGTCGTGCCACGAGTGGCCAGGTGGCTCCAGGCCCCGGGAGTTGACGGGGTGGGCCCTCCCACGTTTTCCCCATGGTTAGCCGATTACTATGTACACACTCCTCAGTCATGCTTCGACCACGGGATTCAACCTGGGAGAGGGGCCGTGCGGGGGGGGGAAGCCGACGCAAGGCGCGAGCAACCGAGCAGCCCCACCCTGGCACCGCACCCTGAGCCGTCTTAAGAGCCCCGCGGGACTTTCAGGACGGAGCAGGGCCCCAATGGGAAGACCCTGAGGAGAAGGCTTTTAAGGAGGTTGGGACGGACAACTCCCTGCCGCGGGGGCCCGGGGGGCTCGCCGCGGAGCGACCCGAAGGTCCAGGGCCCGGGGGTGTCCATCTCGAGCGGGTCGATTGCCCAGATCAGCCCGAGGAAAATGAGGCTTCACGCAGAGCAGCCAGAGCATCGGTCGGGCCTCCTGGGAACCCGGCGAGGGGGCCGGGAGCGCGGGTCAGGGGCACTTTGAACCGCCGCGGTGGTTCATGGTGTTTCCCAATGCGCGCCGACCGATACGTGCCTGGGCCGTCGCCGCTAGAGACCTAACCCTCAGGGCGTATGATCCAGAAGGCGTGGGTCAGAGTGAACCTACTGCAAAGAGAGGCAAGGCAGCGGGCGAGCTGCGCAGCTCGAGCGTCGAGAGCTCGGGCGCTGGCGGGCGCCGCGGCCTGCTGCGCAAGGAGCGCGAGGCCGTCGTTGATGTAGATGCGCGCCGTGCGCGCGTCTGACCAGCGGCCCCTGTGGGTGGCCCACTGGAGGTCGCCGTGCGCGCGCATGTCGTGCGTCGCGCCACCGCGACGCAGACTGCGCGGCTTCAGACCGAGCTCCGCGACGCCAGCCTGGCGGCAAGCGTGGTAGAAGAGGACTCGGAAGTGCGCGTGGGTCCCATCCAGGAGGATCCCTCGGCCCCCGCGCATCTGCCTCAGAGCCGCGAGCGCGCGGC